CTTGCGGCGGCCCGAAACTCCCGGGCTGGGAGCTTTGGCCGTGAGGTGTGCAAGCGCCTGGGGCTTGCAACTCCTCGACCCTCCTGTTCTCTTTCTTAATTTAGATGCCTTTATAACTCGGATGGTGACTTCCTGATTGGTGAGTTGATGCTTTGGATTTTCCTTTCCCTCAGGGGGTCCTACCTGAGTTGACTACTGCCTGCCTCTTTGTTCTTCCAGAGCCTTTGGCTCTACAGCCACGATTTGGAGGAGCGGGTTGGCTTCACCCTCATGCCACCCAGACATGGTGGTTTGGCACCAGATGGGCTGTTGGTTGGGCTGTACCACTCCTGTGCAGAACTCAAATTTGGTTTTGAGCAGTGACCCAGCTTCCTTGGCATGGTGCTCAGGGATCATTTCCCAGTGCTGCCTAGACTGGCATTAGGCACACTACAGGCAAAGGATTTCTGGAGAACATTAACCTCAGGATTTCTGAACAGCTTACAGCTGTATTCCTTCATTGCTTCAGTCCAAGAGTATCTGGCACGGCAGCTTAGCTCCCACACTCCGCCAGCCTCAGGCAACCAGACTGCCATGACGTGTTGAGGTTGGCACATTAAGAGCGTACTTGCTGAAAAATATTCTGAGTGGTATCAGAAGTTTGATGTTTGCTTGTATCTTTCTTGACCAAGGGACAGAAGTGCCTTCAGGTCATCAATGAAACATTTCTCCCATCAAATAGCTATTAAATTTCCCTTGCTCACCTCCCTCACTACCGTGAAGTAAAAGTGCCAGAGCAGGTTTTGTAAATCTGCTAGTTCTTCAAGTCCAAATGTGAGCTCTCCTGCACCAGGACTGTCACAGAAAATAATGTGGATGTCAGCGAACCATTGCTTCAGCCCTCAGGAAGAAGGGAGAATTAGTTATTCCCAGGTATTTCACACTGACACAGTCATGACAAGGATGGCTACCTGCACCATTTTATGGGAAGATCATGAGACAGACAGGCATGGCTCCAAATATAGCAAGTCCCATTTATTTGGATTATGGCAGAAACCCTGTGTCAAGGGACCACGAGGTGATGGATGACCTAGCCTCATGCAGGTACCTGCTGTGATGTCAGGGCTATGGGGCTGGTCTGGAAGCTCTCCCTCCAATGGGACCATCTCTGCTGCAAAGCTCTGCATGGGAGAGGGAGCCTGGTCCTGCTGTGAAACTAGGTCAAAAAGGGTCCATTGCTCTTCCTTGGAGCCTGGGTGCTCTAGGGGGTTGGAGAAGGTGGAACTCACTATGTTGCTTCAGCTCCTCTGCTTGTGTTTTGTTTCCACAGTGCCTCAGCAAGGGAAGCTCCTCATCACAACTGAGTTTGGGAAGATGCTTGTGGAGCCCAACGAAATCTGTGTCATTCAGGTAAGGGCTGACTGCAGCTTGTCTGTGGCTCAGAGCCCAGCGTTGGATGCCAGCTCCTGTATTCAGCCATTTGTGCTTTGTTAGGAAGCCCTGGGAGGATTCTAGTGTCTTCCTTTGTTTTCCAGCAAGGAATGCGTTTCAGTGTGGAGGTGTTTGGAGAGACCAGAGGCTACATCCTGGAGGTGTATGGGGCACACTTTGAGCTGCCTGACTTAGGACCCATCGGTAACAATCTCCCATCAGACCTACAGTGAACTTTATAGAGGCAACCAGGAAGTACAAGAGCAAATCCAACCTTTTGTTTCTGTGTATTATATTCTCCCATGCACGTGCTTCTTCCCAGAAACACTTTCCATCCCAGTGCTGTTATTCCCCAGCAGTGCAAGCATCCACCCAAAAAAAATATGAAAGGCCATTCATCCTGATTTTCACCTGGGACTGAAGGGACCAGTTCCCTCCCACCCCCTTTTCCATTTTCTCTTTTCCATTCTCATCTGGGAATCCACATCTGCTGACTCTGAATCTGTTCCTACCAAAAGAAATTCGTATTTGAAGTGCTGGGATTTAAACTCCCAGCCCTGAAAGAGGGTTGGCATATGGATGATGTCCACAACCAACCAAGACCCTCCTGACTGCTTTTCACCCGAGGTCTGGCCAGCCTTGGGTGGGAACTGATTAGGAGATCACCACCAGGTGCCCCCCCCCCTCCACATTAACTTGTAGAAGCCACTTCTACAAGAACTGACTCCCCAGAGGAGTTGGGAAGGTCTGTTCATGTGGCAGATGTGCTAGGTGAGTATTCTGGTTGTCAGAAAGGTTCCCTGAGTATGGCAAGTGGGGCTCCTAGGATGGTGGAGAGAAGGTGAGTCCCTACTACATAACTGGACTCAGCCTGGCTAATTCCACACCCATGGCTCGGATCCTTGGCCAGCTTGCTCCCTTCTTCACATCCTGTGTGGTGAATGAGTACATCAACTTATTCCTCCCTCTGATGGTGCAGCACCTTGGGTTGTTTGTGTATGATTTAAGAGCACAGAGAGGGATTTGGCTGCTAGTCTGCTCATTAATGATAATAGCTTTCTATATTGAGCAAGTGGTCAGCAGAAGAGTATTATAAATCAGTAATAAGCTTGACATGTCCTATCTGCATTCAAAGGGCTGTTGCAAACATCTTGTGGCCACAGTGAAACTGAAGCCAGTCAGTCTTGCTGTGGGGAACCAGCCCAGTCTGTAGCCACTTAATGGGACCCCAAGTGAGCATCTCTTCTGTGTGCTGTGCTGGGCACATCTTTCCACATTGAGCCTAGAGTGATTTTTCAGTGGCTTTCCTTTCAGCCAGCTGAGACTACCTGCCTTCACCTACTTCTTGTGATCTGTGCCTGCTCCACTTGGTTATTGGGATTGTTGCCCCAAACTCTTTGTAACAAGTTTTCCCATTAGCTAGGTTTTCAGATGCTGGACTTCGGGGTTTTTTTGGTCTCCAGAAGGTAGGAATCTATTATGAGGCTTACTTTGTGGAGAAAAGAAAATGAATGCTCTTGCCTGTAAACCTTTTCAGGAGGTGGTAATTATAAGAGCTCCTCTTCTCACCACCTACCTGCCTTCCCCCCAGAGACCAAGATCCTTTGTATTTCAGTCTTATTCTATTGTAACTTCACTTTTCATTTGAAAAAAAAATGACAGCTGGAGAAAAGCACTGACTGTTAAGCCTTAGCAGCAGGTAGTAATGTCTGCATTTTTATCCAAGAAATTCAGAACCACTTTGTAACAATAATACTAAAGAGAAGAGGAAGAAGAATGCTTCAGCACCCATATGGTGCTTACAATTTGAAAATGGACTCCTCACAGTAACCAACCCTGCAGTATACCCAGAGTTTGTAGGTATCACTAGCCCTTATTTTATTAGTCTTTTTGCAAAGGTATAGAAACATATTTGGCCACCTCATGACATGCCTCATAATTTCTGCATGGCTAAGTGTCCAACCAACAAGATGCCCAGGAACAGAGAGCGAATCACCCTCTGTTTTTTGCTTAATTCTTAGTGTCACATGAGTTTAATTGGGGATGACATACTAACCTCCTCCAGAATGGAACTGGGGGAGACCTGTCTTGGTCACATATGGGGAGCATGGACTTAAATGCAAGGATATATTACAATTACCTGCTCAGAGGAGCACGAGAAGTACATGACTGTTTCAGCCTTTCGTGGTGGGCCAAGAAGCAATAAAATAATTCAAAATGCAGAAGGGTACCCACAAAGCCAGGAAATTTTGCCAGCCTCTCCTGTTTCTTGCAGCTTGCCAAAGAGCTCTGGCATGTCTCTTTCTTCCACAGGCGCCAACGGTCTGGCCAACCCACGTGACTTCTTGGTACCCGTTGCCTGGTATGAGGACCGACAAGTGCCGGGGGGCTACACGGTGATCAGCAAGTACCAGGGCAAGCTGTTTGCAGCCCAGCAGGTGAGGATGCCCCGGGAGAACAGGTAACACTGAATCACAGCAACTGTCAGTGCATGCCTTGGGATACACAACTCAGCAGTGGCATACCAGTTTCAGGAAGTCCTGATGGGTTAAGTGGAGCAGGAGCCTTGCTTTTCTGGGTCGTTCACTTTCCCAGCTGAGGCTCCAGGTGAAGACATGGCTACCCAAAGTCTTGATGATGGTCTTTGCCTCACTGTTTCCATACATTCATAATGACAGAGTAGAAAGGGGGAGCTGGGGCTGCTGTGAAAAGCCAGTGTTTCCTTACGAGAGAGCCAGTGCTGCAGCTGGTCTTGTTCAAATACTGCCTGGGCACTCAAAAGCCCTTAGAGACCAAAGCCCAGGGGGGGTGCTGAGGCTCAGCAAGCAGAAAGGTGAGGAAAACCACGTCCTTGCAATGTCAGGCTGTGCCTAAAGGGCTTTGTGCTTCAGGCTGCTGGTGTACTCTCACTAGCACTAAACTTATTTTTTAATTTGAGAAGGAGCAGTGCTCTGCATAGGTGCGGCAAGTTGGAAGGTTGTGTGTGGTAACCCTCTGTCTCATTGCTTTGGTAGGATTTCTCCCCCTTCAATGTTGTAGCCTGGCATGGGAACTACACGCCGTACAAATACCACCTGGAAAAATTCATGGTCATTAATGCTGTCGCTTTTGACCACGCGGTAAGTCCTGGAGCTGGGCAAGGCAGGGCAATGTTGTGTGGGTACTGTACCACCCAAACTCACCCTGAGCTCCAGGGGCTCAGTGCCTGTTAGAAAATACATTGTGCTCTAAGGAACAGTGTGAAATCTCTTGTGCTGCTTTTGCTGGGCCCAAACCAAGCTCTTCTAGAGAAAGACAACCTCTTTTGTGGTATAAAGACATAACTGGAGGTTGATCAGCTTCTTAAACAGCTTTTTGCAGCTTAGCACAGAATTTTTGTGCCCTGGAGGACAGCCAAACACTGAAGCCAACACACACTATGCAACTCAGCAAAAAGACTTTTGCTTCAAATTTTTGCCTTGATTTATTTCTTGCAATTGCACAGACTCCTCCTCCTGGTTTCTCTGATCCCAGCACTGAAATTCATTTGAAGAGCTGGCAGCTTTCATTGCAATAATTTCTCGATCTTATGGAAAATAACTAAAGCCAAAACTAACATGAGCAGCTCTTCTAAAAAGGAAACCAATCCACTGGGAGAGGTGCCCGCAGTGATGCCATCTCATGCTGCTGCTTCTGCAAGTGGGTGTGCAAGGAGACTGGAGAATTCCTAGTGGGACAACCAACAGAAAGGATTGTTTAAACTCAATCTGACAGGAGAAGAATGGCTTTGGGATCAAAGCTCAGAAAATCACTTTACTGGACTAGAAATTTCAAAAATCCTTGAAGCAAGCCACAGTTTCTCTGCACTTTGTTCTCCCTATTTGTAAACAAACAGGCCTCTGAGGCTAGATGCCTCCAGCAGAATGTTCCTGTCCCCTGGCACCAGCTAAGGCAGAGGTATGGTTAAGTGGTAGGAGTGCTGGAGACTGCTTCTGGAATTACAGTACCCTTTCTTGCAGGGCTGTCCCTTCCCTGCATCTGTGCTGCCAGCTCCAAGGGCATCATTGCTGGGGCAGAAAAGGCTCTCTAAGGCTACCTAAAGGAAGAACTATCCAGTCCCCTCTCTCATCCCTCATATTCAGTATGGCTGCTGTCACACAGGGTCACAAATCTCACCCACACCACCAGATGCAGGTGGTAGAAGTGTTTTGTCAAGGGAGAGGCTGTATCAGTCTGGTTTACCAGCAGCATGACCTGAGGAGACAGCTCTGAGCCCTGCTCTGTTTTCACGGGTTTTTTTCTTTGCTTTTTTTTCAGGATCCTTCTATCTTCACTGTCCTGACAGCCAAGTCAACCCGTCCTGGAGTGGCCCTGGCTGACTTTGTCATATTCCCCCCACGATGGGGGGTAGCTAACAACACCTTCCGCCCACCGTACTACCACCGTACGTCTGTTCCTCGTGGGTTGTGCTGGAGTACAGGGCAGCAGAGGGAAAAAACAAGCCTCCATTTATTTCAGAGTACTTGCAGGGAAGAAGCAGTCTGATTTGTTGTCCTTGGCAGAGTTAGAGTCAGCTTCTTGGAGCCAGTCTGTCCTCCCTGGAAAATGAACAAACCCAAAGATGTTCCTATTTAGAGCATCTCAGGAAAACTCAGAGGTGATGGACTGGTTATGTCTGCATAGATGGATGTGTCTGTACTCAAGGGTCTCCCTCTGAGACTGGGTGCATATTGAACTTGGCACTGCACAAATGCATCAGAAATTGTCTTGTCATCCAGACATGAATTGCTTAATATCTCATTAGAGTACATAGACAAAGAACAGGAGAAAGAAAAATACAGTCTCACAGCTAGTGAGAAGTACAGAGGGTTGCAGAGCTGCCCAAGGCCATCATAGGCTGAGATCAGAGTTACAGCAAAGGAGTAAATTTGCTCTCCTAAGCCCTTCACCACCTGCACAGTGATGTAAGTACCTCTGGCATTTAAGAAGCCAGAGATCAGGAACTAGGCTCCTTCTCAGGCAGAGCTGGTTGATGTTCTGGGGATTTGGTTGCCATCGCCAGAGCCAGTTTCTTTTTTGGTAGTTTTTTTGTCATCTTGGTAGAGCATGGCCACATGTTGAGGCCCAGTTCTTTTGCTAGAGATCCCCTTGACTCCTCAGGTGCAGTGGAAAGCCTGTGTTCAGAGAATTTTGGTGCAGTCACATTTTTCATCTTGCCTTAACTTTGCCTTAAGTAGGAATATAGCAATGGTGGTCCAAAACTTTCCCACCTTAACCAACACCCCTAGGCACTGTAACAGTGTTGCATACAAAGGTGGCTGTGCAGCTCATAAATACTGACTTCTCTTGTCACCTTTCTACAACCCTGGAGGCTGTGAATTACTCCTAGGGTCTTTAGACTACAGGGTAAAAAATGTCTGATAGAGCTTTGATACCATATGTTGCATCTGTGTCTGGAAGAGTACTTGTGTGAGTCCCATTACAGTGTGACCTACTAGCCACTAAGGGATTTTGACTTCACAGCACCCTGCTTGGAGAAGAAAATGCTATTTTACCAATAGGAAACGAAGGTACCTTTCAGTTGTTGGGGGTCACGTAGGAAATCTGTGAATGAACAAGAAGCTGGATTCGGCTCGTCTCTTAGGTCCCAGCTGGGTTCTCTACGCATCTTCCTGTTCATCCTGAGCGATGTCATGAGCCTTGTTGCAGATGTGCTGGCAATCCAGCTGTTAGGAGTCTGCACAGCAGTCTGAGCGTGCCAGGTGCCGTATAGGAGCGAGGTCAATGCAAAGCCTGTAACAATCCACTCTCACAGGAGATACTGACAACTTGGGATGAAAACGAGTGTTTGCATATGTATATACACCAACTCTGCTTTGACCTAAATTAGTTTTGTTGCTAAATATTTTACACCCTGGATTGTACTTAACGAAAACCAAGTTATAGTGGTTAAAAAGAGCTATATATATAATGTGTGTGTCCTGGTTTTGCAAAAACTGACTGCTAAGCAGAAAGTTGCCCTATTGTTTAGTCCCATCAGGCCTATGAAAGCTGAAAGCTTGGGATGCCAGCTGTTAAAGTACTTCTTTTACAGGAAGTACCGAGTGCTTAGATACAGGCATTCTTAACTAAGTTAGTGGTACATTACTCCACCAGTTTCAGATGGTCTACTTAAAGTACTGTTCCTCAGGGAAGGACAGAATTTGGCTCCTTGTCTTTGGGCACACAGTGGTTCTTGAGAAAAAAGGTAGATAATGCACAAATCAAAAGCATAATGTACTGAAGCACACAAATGGACTGGAAGTAATGAAAGAATATCAAGCAAAATGATTTCAAGCTTATAACCTGGGACAGCACACCAGGCTCTCTCACCAGACTGCCAGCCAGGCATTTTGTGCCTCAGTGCCCATAATGCACAGATGATGATACTGAACTTTCTTTCCAGCTCTTTAAGATCTCTAATCCAAGTCTGTAAATAACAGGTTACCCCAGGCAGTTTGCATACAGGTGTAGTACCTCCATGACTTGAGGTGGCAGGAAAAGCACAGGTCTACCAACACCAATGCATCTTCATTAGGGAGCTGTTTCTGAATCCAAATAATTGAGAGTGGAATAAAACCTGTACAGTTTACAAGCACCACCTGTAGGATCCCTGAGGTCCTCTCATGTGGTACTCTGCTTAGGAACCTCCACTCCACACTCTGCCTGGCCCAGCTTGGCTTGTGGGTTTCAAGGAGCTCACAGTCCAGTTGTGATGCCTCCCAATCACACTGCATTGCAACCTCTTCTCTGTGCCTCCTGCAGGGAACTGCATGAGTGAGTTCATGGGGCTCATCAAAGGCCACTATGAAGCAAAGGAAGAAGGCTTCCAGCCTGGAGGGGCCAGCCTGCACAGCATGATGACTCCTCATGGGCCAGATGCTGACTGTTTTGAGAAGGCAAGCAAAGCCAAGCTGGAGCCTGAGAGGGTTGCAGAAGGGACCATGGTAAGGAGCCAAGGGAGCCTATGAGATTTTGAATACAGCACAGCATACCACAGTCATGCCACTCTCCAAGTACAGCCTAGCTTCTTGCTGGCAAGCTGGAAAAGTACTTGGACCAAACTGGTGCAGCATTCATCTCCCTTACTGATCAGCACCAGGAGCTCCCCTGGAGACACGTGATGCCAGCTTTGATCATCTGCCCACAAAAAACTGTTGCCTGAGCATGAAGCTGGGAATTTTCATGATGATTAATTTAATTTTTGTCTTAGCCTATGGACTAAGCAAACCCCCTGACTGTTCTTCTTTCTACACCCCCTAAAATCTGATTATGAGACCTTGACTTAGAGCTTTTGGAACATCCTGGCTTTCCGGGATGTGCAGGGAGGCCAAAGTCACTCCTGAGACCTGGTTAATACCAGCACTGCAATGTCAGCTCTGAAGAGCTTTCTCATTCTGGGTTGATCAGGCTGGAGGCAGAATCTGGCAGTGCTGTACTTTGCATACAACTCCCTTTTGTGGTAGAGCCAAGCCACCTTGCCTGGATTTAAACTCGCTCTTGCCCTAACATACATTCCTCTTCCTAATAGGCCTTCATGTTCGAATCATCCCTCAGTCTCGCCGTCACGAAATGGGGCCTCCTGACCTCCAACCGCCTAGATAAAAGCTACTACAAGTGCTGGGAACCTCTGAAAAGCCACTTCAACCCTAAGTGCAAGTAAAGAGAAGTATTGTTGTTTGCAATACCTGAGCAAAGGCAGGGAAATCCAGCATACCTACGTGTGGTGGCACAGTCAGCTTGGCCAGCTCCAGCACAGGATGGCATTTCCAGCAGCCACCAAGCCATGAAAATTATTATCCATATGTAACATGGGAAATGCAGGAAAAAAACCCCACCATTATTCTTAACTTTCCAGTACCAAATTAAAGCTTTCCTCGTGACATGCTGAAGTACTTGCACTGCTCTCACTCTGTGTAGTTGGTGTGCATGCTGTACCTTGTGTGGACATGAGGCCACAGCCAGTCCCTGTTAGCAGGGCCTGATGAAAATGCAACCTGGTGTGTCTTTCACAGGGACAAGCTAGGGAACAACAAAGTGTTTTAATGCTGTCTGTAGGGGAAGAGCTTTACAAACAGAGCTGAAGGGTCTCTAAGCTTCCTATCAGAGCAGGCTAACCTGCTGATCAGAGGAGGGTTGCCAAGTGAATACTTGTCAGAAGAGTAGGCTGCAAATTAGAAAAGGTTGGAGAATCTAAAATGCTTCACTGCTAAATGAGGGAGTTTCCTTTCCAACCCCACATTCTGGCCAGCCTTCAACATTGACTTGTCATCACTTGACAAATTCTCTCCCTAGTTAAGTGCTAATTTGTGGCATAGCACATGTGAAAGGGTTTGTCTGGCCAGTCAAGGCATTTGTCCCGGGAAGGTACCTGGAAGAAAGCTCACATGCAGGCAACATGGTGGAAGGCCACAAAATTCATTGGAATATGCAAATGTTACCTTCACGTGGTGAGTTCCACAGGGCGGAGGCAGAAAGCAAAGGTCCAAGTATGGTGGGGACCAGGAGCACAGCCCAGGCACCCCAAACCCCAGGCCTGCACTTTAGCACATACATAAAATTTCCAGTTACAAATCTCAGTGCCTTCAGGATCTATGTTTCACACTTCCCAAGAGAAATAATCCTCAATTTTCCTAAAGAGAATGAAATGTAGAGCTGTGACACCTAACTTCAGTCAGTTGCATCCATCATTGGTTTTGGATCTGCATCAGATCCTTGGGGGGAAAAAAACATCAGCTTTGAGCGAAGCTTTACATTATAAAATCTACAGGGAGATGTTCACTCTGAAGTGGCCAGTGCAGAAAAGGACATTCAGGAGAATCAATATGCCAGAGAAGCTGATTTAATCAAGCTGATCCACAGATAAGAGAGGTCTAAATGTTTTACAGGGAGAGGGAAAAAGCTTGTTTTCTATTTGGGACCTAAGTTATTATCCAGTGATCTACAGGCTTGAATTTCTCTTGCTAGACTCATCACTGAAGCACATCTCAGACATGGGTGGTAACATATCAGTCAAGGGTAAACCTCCATTTCTGAAGGAAAACTCCCCTTTGTATAAACTTCCTCTATACACCCAGACCACTGCCTCAGACCACTAACCCTACCTCCTGCTGCATAGCACCTTTGTCTCTTATGACAAAACAGCTTCTCAAGTTCTGCAAATAATGAGGGAGAAGTAGGGCAGCCTTTCCCCAAGCACCAGGCTCAAATCAGCAGGGATGCAGCATCAGACACTCTCATCTGCAAAGGACAGGGCTGTGGCAGGTGCCACAAGCAGCAGTCTGAGCCTGGCCTGAACGACTAGAGGCACGATGTTCATCTACAGCCCATCCTGAGCCCTTTGCCTCACTGGCCTGAAACCAATACAGCTGCGAGGGAGAATTTCCGTGTGTGGCAGCTCGAGTTCCAATTAGCTGAGGAAATGGTTCCTAGGAGATCAAATTAGTTTGTGGCAGCAGGAAGATGATAGTTAATTTAGCATGCTCAGACAAGCAATTATTTCTTTCCCTAAATACTGCTTTCCCCACGCATTGATGCCTCTCTCTCTCTGCCCTGACCCAGAGCTGTATCTTGTAATATCACTTGTGACAGTCTTTGAGAAGCTGTTCTGCAGAGAATAATCTGTTTGCTCTGGTTAAGATAGCAGAAGGAGCTGCAGAGGGAGGTGTGAGAGGGTTCCTGGGAGCACGTATGGGATTGCAGAAGCAGGCCACAGCCTTCCACACAGTGCTAGTGCCAAGCTTCCCACAGCCTGAATGTTCCATGACCCAGACAGAAAAGGGAAGAGCTGTGATGGGAAACACTTGAAAAAAAAAAAGAAAAAATAAATAAATCAGGAAACTTTCTGTTGTGAGTGATGGAGTGCTGGCACAAGTTGCCCAGAGAGGTTATGAAGTCTCCATCCTTGGGAAGATACTCAAAAGCCATCTGGACATGGTCCTGGACAACCTGCTCTAGGTGGCCCTGCTTGAGCAGGATGCTGGACCAGATGATCTCCAGAGCCCCCCTCCAACCTCAACCATTCTGGGATTACATGAAAAAGCTCATCAGCTCACTCTGATGGAGGGGCTTGTGATGGCCCATAGGCACATCCTGATCACACAGGAAAGGGGCTTGGTAGAGCTGCTCTTGCTGACCTCACACAGGCTGCTTTCCCAGCAGACAGAGGGAAGTATCCAGCTTTTGCAGCAAAGCTTTTGGCATTGACCTCCATATTTGGGAAGAAATCGCTCCCATACAACATCTGAAGTTTTTTTGATCATGATGGCCCCTACAGCCCATGTGACAATACAAGTCTGAAATAAAAATCTTTCCCTTGCAGTCACATTTCAGTGCTTTTGCAAGTCCCAATCCCAGCTGACCAGGGCAGAGCAGACCAGGCTTCTCCTAAGAATAAGCAGAGGAGGCATCTTTGCAGGCACAAGGTTCTGTGGGGCTTGGTGGTAGTTGTTTTGTTTTGTTTTTCAATCACAGCCAATTTGCAGAAGTGAAATGGAATTCTCTCATACTGCAGGGGAATCGGTGTCAAAAATAAAACTCCGTTTTCACTTTTCTCCTGCTCACAGGCATCACAGAATTAGTGGGTATAGCATGACAATATTCAGCTCACTATTTCCATGTCTGGTATGGTAATTTTATCCAGAATTTTACTGCAATAACATGATACATGGTTTAGGCTTCTGTTTTATTAGGGAAAAGAAAAATTAACTCCACCTATTGTGAGCAGGCAGGCTGGCTCCTCAACTGATAATCACATTAGATCAAATGTGATATTAAAATGTATCCCAGAACTTGCCTATTACCAGATTAAGGTAAATGACATAGTCAAAGCAACGCCAGGAAGAATACCGAGCAGGCAAACAGCAGTTCTCTAGAACACTGCCTTGGGCTTGCTTAACATTTTAGACTGCTACTAATTTTAATCTTCAGCCTGTGCTGCTCTGACTGCAGCAACTTCCACAGCTCTAAAAGGAGCCTCTGTATGTGGCCCAAGGGAGGATACCCTCTCTGCATCTACCTGCACTTTCCACAATTGTTCAAGTTGCAAGACAGCCAATGAGCAGTTAAGATTAATTCTCATAAAGGAGAAAGGACAGCACACAGTACATCTTATTTTATTTATACCCCATGAAGAGTGCTGCAATTCCAGCAACTTAAAATACACTGAAGGGTCGCTTGTATTTGCCTTCTTGGATAAGCTTCTCTCTACGATCCTGTGAAAAAAGAAAACATTTATCATTCTCCTATCAGAGAAGAAGATTCAGTCAGCCTTGGATGAAAGAAAAGTGGTCCTAGTATTTCAACATGGACCAAAGAAGAGAGCACCATGCATGATTTTAAGGGTATCTTCCAACCTAAATCGTTCCCTAAGCACAAACTCTGGCAACAGCCATTGTGGTTAAAAAGTGAAGAAGAACAAAGCATTCAGCTTCACCTCCCAGCTACAGAACGTGTGCTCAGATTGACCTTTCTGCACATCTGGCCACTCTCAGAGGCCAACTCCTCTGATGTAGTTTTCACCAAACTCGTTGCATCACAGTTAATTTATACATCTAGTTTCCTAGTTTTCTAGCCTCCTCCTCCTGGCTGGAGAATCCAGTTTACAGATCTAATTACAAAATTTCTCATTATGAAGTTCTTAAGAAACTTCTTAAGAACTTTCCTAAATGTGCCTGTATTCAGGCCTTTTGTATCTCACTGCCATCGTGCACCTTACTGACAGGTATGGGTACAGTGCACAGATACTGCCCAGATGCCTTCTGCTGGATAAAACCAGAAGACTTGCTTACAACTTGACCATTTATCTTTTGATTTCCCAGACACAACAAACTTTGCAGAGAAAACAGTGTAACAGTTACTGTGCTTTATATACTAACAGTAAACAATGAAAAATCCCCAAATATCAGTAATGAAGGAAATAAAGGAAATCAAAAATGGTCCTGGAAACTACATTAAAGACTTCAGCTTCAATATTTCCAGGCAGGTATAACTAGATTTCACTCGCACAGGTTTATTTTCAAGCACTCACAGCCTAAGCCACATTTGGTGGCTAAGCCCAAATGATTTGTGGCTTTACACACAAATCAAAACCAGCATGTCAAAATGCTGCAGAGATGCTGAAGTCTCACAAACACTTATGCTAATATGCTCGGCACATTTCCTAAAACCTGTATTTTTGATTCAACGTAGAAAAGAACATTCTCTACAAACATTCTGTATTAATTTTAATCATCTATATTAAATTTTAATAATAAAAATTAATGATAACCTATGTTAATTTTAATTTATGTTTGTGCCTCTCGGTTTATGACTTGATCTAAAAACGCTACTTTTGTGCAAAAGAAGGAAATAGAAGTGTTTAACAGTAGCCACAAAATCACTAGTAAAACCAGGTAGGCTGCCAGACATCCTGCCTTTTCTTATCTATGCACATAGCTGAGTTTTTTTTTCAGAATGATATACCATTGCTCAGATTCCAGTATCCACGTTTCAGGAGTTAGAACAGAAGCAAGATAAACCACCCAAAATTTTACAGCAGCCAACTGTGATCAGGCACTGCAATCATTGTAAATACTGCTCCCTATTTGCTTCATGAGATTAGAGAAATAGTTAAAAAATTCACAGAGATGTTGCCAATTTGGTCATTCATAAGTTCACTTTTTATTTCTTTATAAAAGCACAGTTACTGCACGTCAGCAGCTGAAAGTAACAGCCTCTTCGGATTAATTTACACTGCCAGTGCTACAGACAGCTTTATTGTAGCAAAATATCCTGATCCTGGGAACGGTGACTGGCCATACCCAAGGCTACTACACATGGCTTTCAGCACAACAGGACTTTGCAATCTGTTACGAGGCTCTGAGATATAGCATGCTCCGTAGCAGCTTCCCTTCCGTCATTACTTCAATCATACTTACATGCAAGCATATCCCACGAATTAAGACTCCAGGCAGATTTACATTTTACAATCTGGTGTTCACTGACGGCCAGTGCTGTCAGCTGACTTACCCTGTCAATTTTGAAGGCAAAAGCCCAGAAGAGGAGAGGGCCTATCGCAAAAATTGCTCCTAGAAAGGACGTCTTGGGTGTCGGGCGGAAATTTGGGTAGATGTTAAGCGTCCGAGCGTAGACCCAGCGGATCAAGGCAGGATCTTCCTAGGTTGGAAAGAAAGCCGCGGTGAAGCCCTCAGGGGCCCTGCGCCGGCCACTCCG